GGAGCTGAGCTATTGAGGCTGCAGATTGTAAGAAATGTAAAGAAAAATACCATGCATACTTGATACCTTACAACGCTGTTCCTCAAGGGAGCGCTTCATTGCTTCTCTTTTTGTAAGCAGTGTTTGGGGCCTCAGAGAAGCAGGCCGCTGATAGTTCTTTCCACGATAAACAATGATTACATATCCCTTACTTATTCTTTCAACACCTACTAATATTCCACCACTTTCAGCCTCTAAGGTCCGGGCTACTCGATGAACAGCTTCAATGTTTGTTTTCTTAACAACTATCTTCACAAGTTCCCTATACTTCCAGTGAAGATGCATATTTTCAACTGTTCCTGCAAAAACACCACGTCTACCTGCAAACATAATGCAAAACCTATCAAGGCCTTGTTTCTCAGCACTCAGAATAACTGATGGTAGAATCACTTGAAAGCACTTTGCACTACTTACAGAGAACTAAAAGTGCCACTATTTCAAATTAAAAAGTTTGCACTACAAGGCATACTCACCCAATAAGAGAAAAGGCTTCATTCTCAAGCCAACCTTCCGAAGCAAATGTCTCTCTTCAACTGTTATACCCCCCTTATCTACTTCATATTGTCCAGGCAGTTCTGCCTCCTCTAGCTCAGCCAGAAGCTTCTCTGCCTTTTCTTTCTTTTCTAGTACCTGCAGTGAAAGATATTATACTTGCCCTAAACAACATGATGACAAGAAGACATCCAAAAGCAGCACCTAACTAAAATAGTACCATGGACAACTTGATATTAGTCCTTTTGACAGCTGCTTCAGCAGACGTTATGTTTTTTGGCTCATCCAGGAGATTGCTTTTCTGATCTTGGGGCCCCCCATCTTCTTCTCCAGAACAACTTTCATTACTCCCAACTTTAAGATCCGGTACAGGTTTAGGGGATACACTACAATCTGCAGATTCTGCACTCTGTTTTTCCCCCTGAATTACCTGCTTTCTCCGCTCTTCTATGGCAGATGAAACAGCAGATGGCAGGAAATCTTTTCCACGATATAAAACAATAGAGTCCTTATCTCTTGAAAGCAGAGTTCCTCCAGTCAGCCACTGAAAATAGAATATTTTTATTAATGCAATAGCAGTGAAGGACCAGGACAGAATATTTTTCAACAAGCAGAGGTAATAGTTTATCTGTCAATTGCTAACATTTCGATGATATTAAATGCACTAGAATCTTCGTAAGCAAGCTCAAGATTACAACTATAGAGGTTAGACAATATCCAAACAAAGAGTATATGCCAAAATTACTCTCCAATCATCCAAATAAAGGCATCCTACATTTAGCAATGCTTGTATGCAAAATCCACATGAAAGCAATAAGCCAATAATTAGTTATTCTCAAGGGTGAGTACTACTTATGTATCACCGACCTTTAATTCTTCAGCCATCATTTCACTATTAGTGTTCTGCACCCCCCTCTTAACTGCAATTTTGGCAATCTCACATTTTTCCCACAGCTTTATGATGGAAGCAGCCAGTCCTTGAAGTTTTCTATTTCTACCTGATAAGAGTCAAAATAGACTCTAATGAATGTAACCAGAATTATTCCTAAAATGTGGAAACATGAATCAAACTCACCTAATACAAAATGAAAGGGTAAGGGTCGGCCTAATCTTTTTAAAGTGGTCATTTCATCATTTGTCAGGATTGGCTTCACACCATATGGAAGAAGGCGGAAGGGTCTCCTGTATCCAGGAACAACTGCAGGTAGAAGATCACCATCAACTGGAAGAGGCTCATATCCCCACCAGTTAGTAAACCGAGGGCCCAGTCCATCCAACAAGTGGTCAGCTTCTTCTACTAGTTCTGCCTCCCCTGGTAGTTGAAATCGTACTCTATTTGGAAAACCAACACCTTGAACTAATGTTGGTCTAGTCATTTTTTTGGTTGCACTTGGTAGAAGACGCTTTTCACCATCCATGTGAGATGCACAACTATCTGCTTCACCAAGCTCTTCATTATCCTTGTCTAGATCCTGTAAACCACTGGGAGAAGAGTCGTTCACTGAAATTTTATCAGCAGAGAAGTAGGGATACTTATAATTGACCCCTCTATACAATACTATTTTACTTCCTGATCTCCAAACAACCAAACCTCCAGTTTTTCTCTGAGAATGACAGAAAAAAACCCAACATTAGACTCCTAGGAAAAGCTGATAGTCTAAATCTTCCATTAGTTAATCCCATTACACTCGAATTTCATGTCATCTAATAAACCTTGTAAATGCAATTATGCATGCAAACAAGTGCTCAGGGATCAATAATTAAGTGTCAAACATCAGAAAATAAGATAATTTGATAATAAATTACTTGAGTAAGATTCTCTGAGGATGAATTTGTGGAAAAGCTAACAAGACTATCAAAAAAAAAATAGTGATACAAACAAATTCAAGAACTGGAAAACAAACCTCTAGTAAATCATGAGTCCTCTTCATGTTCATCTTGCTTATATCCTCGCACACTATCTTGACCACCTCAGACCTTCTCCATCTCTCATGAATCCCGTTCATAATCCCTTCAGTGATCCCTGCCTTCCCAATTTTCAAATTCCTCTTCATTCCCATGCCTAAGATGCTCAACCGCTTCAGCTCCTCCTCGGGCAGACTTAGCTCCGCCAATGTCGGAACCCTCCTTTCTTTCCCTCTCTTAATATCCTTCCTCTCCATCTTCATCTCACTAAATCCCGCCATCAGACTCCCATCATTGGAACCCGGCTCCGGCACCGGGTTCTCCGGCGCATTCCAGCTGGTGTCAATGGTGTGCCCGACCCGGTACTTGGGCAGTTGCTGAGGAAGAGGCACAAATATCTCCCCAGCAGAATTTGACTCAAGCTCGGGTTTTGAATCTTGGGTTTCCGTAAAACCAAGGGAACGGAGCTTGTCAGCAATGCGTTCGATGGCGGATTTCGGAACTATTTGTGTTTTGGGGTCGGATATGGAGCTCCGGATAAGGGGTTTCTTGGTGAATTCAGTGGTTTTAGGCTTCTGGGAGAACAGAGTTTTGGTAGTTAAAGAAGAAAGGGAGGGTACCGTTTGGGTGTTGGGCGGAAGGGAGAGAGGGTGGTGGCGCAGAGGAAGCAACATTTCATGGATGAGCGGCACAGGGAGCACTGTTTCGCGGCGTCAGACAGAGCTCAGCTACTCAACTCAATCAACGTTAGCAATATCCACTCACATGATAAATTGATAAATTGATAGCCTTTTCTATTTTCCTTGCCGCCGCCTTTCAATTTTCAGTTAAAAATGTCAATACAAGGTGGCCTTTTCCTTCCCCTTATTCCCGTTTTAAAGTTTGAATTTAAATTCTTAATTATTTGAGACATTCTTCCGTGAATTCTATGGAATGATTGTATAGAATATCTCAAAGATCATCTCAAGAGATTTTAAACAAAGAAAAAAAAATTCCGACCAAGACATACTAAAGGGGCAAGAGTTGAATGGAAACATGAAACAAATTCCATGACATCGATTATATAGAGCATGGATATTCATCTGAACAAATCTTGTGTCGACAAGTTTATTGCATGTGCTTAGTTAATACGGTAATAGGAAGAACATAAACAATGGTAGTGATGTTTTAACATTATTTACAATATACACAGTTACATTGCAACACACACAACTGTATAGTCTGTATAAAAGAGTGGACAGTTCGAGATTGAATGATTTTTCAAAGAACAGAGGCAAGTAAGTCCCTGTTGAGAATCAAAATTCAGGGGAAAAAGAGTTAGTGAACGTTAATAAATAAACACTTGAATTGGAATAAAACTCTTCCATTTCAATGAATTATGGCGAATACAGAAGATTTTTCACTTCAAAAGGTCTTTTTGGCCTTCACAATTAGCAACCGTAATTGCAAATGTGATATCAGCAACTGTTATACTCACTTCTTGGGGTGTAGGTACTGGTCGACTGTGAGAGGCTTTGGCCCACCAAAATAGTTGATCAAGAAAATGTCTTCGATCTCTAATTTGTAGAAACGAAAGTTGTGATCCTCAGGCCAGTCTGTCAATCCATCACATGATAAATAATATAATTGGTCACCAGAAGAAAAAGAAAGGATCAGGAGATAACAAATAGAAAAAGTATCAGTGATTACCCTTCATCTCCGGGTGCTTTGTGAACAAAGCCCTTCGAGCAAATTCTGCTTCTTTAGAGTTTCCATCCAGAAGCACCAACTGAAACAAAAGATGAAAAACAAATCAAAGTAAACCCAACAAGTTCTTTTATTTGAGTTCCTTTTTGTGTTTCTTTAAAATGGTTTAGGCAATGGAAATCAATAAAACATTTTTCAACTAGCCTGTGGAGAAAGCATATTTGCAATATGCATGCAACTTTTCCTGGGAATAGCGCATTCAAACCTTCTGATTTTCAGACAATAGAATTCAAACATTATAGACCTTGCTATACTGAAGGCATAAAATCTCATTTCAACATATATGTCCAATGCGTTAAGTTCCATCTTAAGGTCAAGAAGGCCAGGGGTCAAATGATCAAGAAAGAGCAATGTGTATTAAGATAATTATATGACGGTTTTGAACAATAATATGCAAAGCATCCATCCTTCCATGGCACTTCTTGCGGTGCACATATGAATTAGATAAGGGATGATAGCTTAGATCTTTATACCTCACTAATTAAGAACACAAATACACACAATTTACAGGGCTGTTTTTGTTGTCGAAGATAGTTTGTCCACTTAAAGTAAGAAGATGAAAAAGAAAAGAGTATCATGTGCCCTATATACCATAACCAAATCTAAGATAATAATTTCTAGTAAACATAACAGAATTCACAAATGAAAACTAGAGAACAGATGGATGAGTAGGAAATTCTGGGGAAACAAACCTTTCCTGTCAGTGTGATTTTTGCACAGGTAGGATTCATGGGATCTGCCTTGCAAGTCCCAATTGGATACTCACTAATTGAGAGTGAAGACCTCTGGTCCTCAAATGCATTTCTTGCCGTTGGATCAAGAGCTGTCAAATAGAAGTATGGGATGCCAGTACCCTTGTCAGGCAATCCATCACTAAATGAAACAACATTCCTGCATGCATGTTGACATTTTCATTTTGTTAGAAATAATGCAGGAGGGTGTAAAGTGGCATCAAAAGTACTTTGGTCAAAAAGGTGCACAAAACCAACAAAAGTTAAACTTAGATCAATTAGAACCAGTCCAGCTGGTTCTGATTCCTTAAACAAGCCTGTAAATAATACACAACATAAAAAAATTTTAGACAAAAACATGTATTGTGTTTTTATAGATATTCGACCTTGTTATGATTTGAAGTTTTGAACCTCTCATCTAACTCTCAGCAATTGTTGGTGAACTGAAAAATAAAGCTCCCAGCCCAGTATTTTGAAACACCATACATTGAGCTCTTTCAAATCTAATGGATATAAATAAAAAGCAATTAAGACCTGATAGTAGCCTATTAAGTCATATCTCTTTTCATGAATCCTGTTAATTTTCAAATTTATATAGATACAGGCACACAAAATTCCGGAAGATCATTCATTCACTATCAAAAAGAAAAAAAGAGAGAGAGATAGAGAAAAAATTTGATACCAATTTCTTACTTCTTAAAAGGTGCCTAAATAATTATCAAAAGTAAATATTGACAATTTATGATGACGGTACAACTACTTCCATAATAAGAAGCAAAACCTAAATGGCTTCAACATGGGGAATAAGTTCTTAAATTATAACTCGTATAAAAAAAACATACCCGAACGGTGCTCCTCCCAACTCACTTGATATTGTGCTGCAAAATTCAAATTGAAAATATGCTTGAATGAATCTCATGCATGTAATAAGCACAAAAGGCACTGTGAAATTCTCATTTCTGCCCAAGGCCCATACCTTCCCCATCGTAATAGACTGGTAGTTGAGCAAGGATATAGTCAAAGCATCAACCTTTAGCAATTGCGTTTTAAAAAATTTAACATAGAACTAACTGGACAATCGAATTTGCTTATAAGAAAACTAAAAATCAATCCAGAACCCAAATCAGAGTTTCACAACAAAAATCAGATAACATAGAGATTGAGATAGATAGAGTAAGTACTTTAAGACCCCCCAAGAACTTTGGGAGGCCAACCAACGGGCATAGCCAGAAGCATCATCTGGGTCTGGTTTTGAGACAAAGAGCAACCTTCCCTGTACAGAACCGTGAAACCCCACAAGAAGCAGCATCAAAGAGAGGACATGGAAACAGTAAAAGCCTTTGCCCTGCATCTGTTGAACAACCGAAGTAGATTACTGATTTTCCAATTGATTGCCTCCGAAGAAACTCAGGTACAACTACAAACTTCCAAGCAAGGAGAACCCGTGAAGATTGCGGAATGTCCGCAGCCGTGAAGACACGGAAATTATCAAGTTTTGGGTAAGAATGAGTAACGGGCCTGCTTGGTTTGAACCATTTAGGCTCATGGGTCATTTCAGGTTTCAAGCCAAGCCTAATGATTTTGGGCTTATATGTCCAATCAAACTTCAATTGATCT